GGGAAAAAAAAAAACAGGTTTTCCTCAAGTCAGTTGCCATCTCTTGGGCAGGAATCAACGCACAAAGGATTCCCAAACCTGAGGATTCAGGAGCAGAATCAGAGCTTCCCAAGCTCAAGAAAAGTCCTGAATTATGAGTTTGAATTTTTTTTATGTTTTGACTGGACCCTATTTCCAGAATATAAAGGAATAATATACATACAATGTACCATGAAATCAGTTTGGTATAGAATATACAATATTCAGGACAGTACCTCCAGCTCTAGTTGCACGCTTCTACAAGGGGGATGGAGGACACTACCACTAAAAATCCTGACGTTCCTGGGCTCTGTCTTTCAGTTAATGCTGTTGTTAAACACAAAGTTTTTCCAATAGATTCTATTCAGTCTGTGTTTATCTTTGGCATCTGATTTGGCTTCCAATATTCTGCTTCAGATACTGCAGATTAATCTCTTTAAATATTATTCATTACTAAAACACTGTTCCCTTCATAAGTTGAATAAGCTTTTATCTTAAGTCTTCTATACTGCCGGCAGTTAATATCCATGCATAATCCTAAATATGTTTTGCCAGTGTTTAGATTCTTTTATCTTCTTTAGATCTATATAAAACATTATCATACCACAACGAAAAAAGAAATTTAAAAAAAGGCACAGTTCAGGTCTGAAATGTGCACTTTGTGACAAGCTTTTACACAGACAGAAATTCCAATAATACCCATCTGGTAGCTAACCCGATTCACTTTTTGGTTACTACAATATTACAGTAGGATACTTCCGTCAACAGCACACAACTGAAACCCATCTTACTTAGGGAAAAAAAAAAAAATGAATTCCAATGGCTATCATTAGAAATCATGGTCTGTAAAAAAAAAAAAAAAAAGCCAACCAGCACAAATTTCTATTTTTACCATTTCAAATTGCTCCCTTCTAGAAATCAATTTCTTCTGAATAATACTGACAGACTTAAGAGGAGGTCAAACAAGTAAAGATATAGTGTCATCACTGCCTCCATTCAGGCAGAGATGCGATTTCCTTCCTGCGTGTAGTCCAACAAGTAAGATCCCACAGAGAAAGAATATTACATACATGTTAAAGTTCTTGCAGGACTACAGTCCTAGGTTTTCATATTGCAAGGAACTTCTCAAAGTGTGATTTGCTGGTCAAGAAATTCTCCTTGCTTAGATGGCAGAGATTCAAATTTAGAGAACATGTATTTGTGATCCATGGCATGTTTTGGAAAACTTTCCTTATCAGAAATCATTATGGCCAGTGATATACCTATGCTAAGGAGGCAATGTTGTTTTGTTAGATATTATGGTAATACAGTAAGTTTACCATGACGTCTTGCTTTTTTTATTAGTATTTAAAAGAAATAGGAATATTGAAAATATTCTAGTTGCGTCTACCCTAGGGAAATAACAACGGATGATTTTACCCTAAGCACATCTTATTTATAAGCATGCTTGCATATACATATGTTAGGATATAGACAATCAAACACATTTATGAGACCTAGTTACATTGATATAATAGATTGGGTATAACAGACTAGGCATTCAAAAAAGATCATATTAAACAAGGAACTACACATAAGGCCTGTCATCAAGTGCTCAAAATCTCCAGCTTAATTTGAATAAATGGAAAGACAAGTAAACAGCATCAGGGTTTACAAGAAAAATACTATAAATATGATCATGTAGGTACACAACAGGAAACACACAGTAAGAGCTATAGTAGCATCGTGTACATACATTCTTAACACCTACAATGAAAATGCATTTCCACTGGAGATTGTACAAAAATAAAAGTATTTATACGACTGTCTTAAGGCAGTCTGACACAAGGCACTGAAGAGTCACCTAAACAAATTGCTAGCTGAGAGGATTATTCAGACACTTGCAATAGATGCACTGAAAGTAAGATGGTATCAGAGCTGAAATTTTGCACCTTTACAATCCATCTTGACTGTCAGCCTAAACACCAATCTCACAAGTACTGCATTCATCATACTAAAAAATTGTTAAACAGCCATTCTGGGGAAGGGAGCAGCTCTTGAAAAATTACGTAAGCATTGTGCATTTGGTGATGTCCTCATCTAAATCACTGTTAATATAGGCAAGCAAGATATTGCATTTTTCTTTGATTACATCATTCACATTTTCCCTATTAGATTTTATATTTAGTCTTACACTGCTAAGTTTTTAATCACACAGCTGTACACTTTGTGAGAAGTCAAACCATGCAATTCATTAGTTATCCAATAAAATTAATCATGTGTTCTTCATTATTTTTTCACTTTGAGTTCATATCGAGAATTGTCAGTCACAGCAATTTACCAGCTGTATGCTGATGTGCTAGCTATAATGTTAAAATAAAGCACAAAGGTAAAACCATACTAAGAAAAGTTCCTCTCATCTGTGCCTCACACTGCAAGATTTGCTTCCTGTAGTCATGAAACAGTCTCCAAAGGATAAGGTTTAAAGTTTTTTTTTTTAGGGTTCAGGTTGAAAGGAGTGCATCTTTACTTTGCACGCATCTAGCTTCCAAGGAATGTGTCTACATTTGGGTAGATATTACTATTATGGTAGAGTTATTTCTTCCAGAACCTGGAGTGAGGTTTTTTTTTTTTTTTAATGTCTACAGCACAAAACTGTGGTCAGCTTTAAGACTTAAATCTTCTGACTTTCCATCTTCTGGAAGAAAACTACATACTTAAAACTTCCCAAACCAAGCATTTGATATCAAATCTAATCAGAGGCTTTACTGAGTTTACTGAGGTATTACTGAGTAATAGGCTTTGAAGCCTTTAGAAGCAAAGTTTGGAAGTGGGCAGGAATCCTACAGAATCACATACAGGTAGTCACTGAGATGTTAAAAGTGCATCTGTATTCTGACTTACTTGTTTGAGACAGAGGCATGTCAGTATGTCTCAATGCAAGGTATCCATGTTCCCCATGGAAACAGACACAGAATTGCTGTGGTTGGAAAGGACCTTTAAGATGATTGATTCCAACCCTTATCCATCTCTACCAGGCCACTTCTACACCAGATCCCTGAGCACCCCATCTAGATGGCTTTTAAATAGATCCAGGGACAGTGATTCAACCTCTTCCCTGGGAAGCCTGTTCCAGTCCTTGATCACACTTGCGCTGTAGAATTTTCTTCCAATGTCTAACCTAAACTTCGAAAGCACTTCCTCTTGTCCTTTCAGTTGTGGCACGTAAGAAGGGGCCAACTGGATTTCTGGCTTAAGTTTGCCTATGTTGACCACCAAAGAAAAGCAGCACATATTGGAATTATGAAATTACAGCTGATTCATCTGCCTACTCAGAGATACAAGAATAACTTATCTCAGTGCTAAAGAGATTTTCTTCTGATAGCTTCCATTTCTTTCCCAAAAGTATTTAATTAGTTTTCATTCTTTGACATCATCTATTTGGAAGAAAAGATGGTTCTTGGAATAAAATGCTATAAAAATGGCTGAACAAGGATATGCTAGAACTCTATTAGGCCTTATATGTCTAATGCCAGTTTGGTATACTCTTCCAGGGAGTCAAAGACACGGGTTTACATACCTTCCAGCCAGAAAAAGGATCAGAACCTATGCCTCCCACATTTCAAGTGCTTCCTGCTCTGCAACCAGATCTTTCTTTCATGAAGAATCTAACCATCTAGCTTTGTACTTTCTTTTTATGCCATGCATTCAACAGGTTCACTTTAAGAAGGTTACTACTTGACTAAAACTCACCAGCAGTCAACTCGCTTTTGAACCACGCAGGACTTTGAAAGAGGGACTGCTGGTTAGTAAGCATTATTCCTAATATTAAAAAATGTGCCCAGATTTAAATGGTTACTAGAGAAGCAGGAAATCTTTTGTTCATCACAACTAACATTTCACATTGGGAATGGCTCTACAGTTTTCTGTACCAGACTGCAGTACAGGGGTATAGAGAACACAAAGGACAGGTGCCTCACTTAATCTACTTGTCCATTTCCACCAACCTAGACTCATATTTAAGCTCATTTTTAGAATACAAGTGGAATCACGTTAACCTAGTGCACCAAAGAAAACTTACTGTAAAGGAAAGGAAGCATGATAGAAATCCCAGTAAAGCCACTTTTGAAACTTGTTATACTCGGATTTAAGAAGTAATTGTTATGCTGTAAGCAACTGTAGCAAGCATATTTTCTCTCAGAACCCTAATCCAGAACAGGCAACAACTTAAAGACGTCCTTCTTCGGTATTTCAGATAGAAAACACATTCTTGGCTTTTGTTTTTTTCACTTTTCCACAGAAGTTTCTTAGATGAGATAAAGTCTAACATACATCTGAAGTAACATCATAACAATGCTTTCAAAACAGATGCTAAGCAAATGACTTTGAATCCTTAATAAGTGATAAATTATTTCTACCAGGACCTTCCACTTAGTACTAAACAGCAGCTTCTGCTGATACACTACTGAATTGTGCATATAGTGTGTTTATGTTATAGACAAATCCTCTTTTAACTAACTGGGATGCCTTTTTTTTTTAAAATTAAAAATAATTATCTTTTGGCCAGAAGTAATGGAAACTATTGAGTGCATAGGTATTAAAGTGAATTAAGATATTCAGTGCTGTTCCAAGTTCATAAGCCATCCATTCTCTTCAGACAGAGAAATCTTTCCAGGTTTCTTTTTATGTCACCAAACTTTGAAAAAGTGAAGTTTAAATTGCATTACAGAAGAGCAACTAGTAAATAGATCTATAATGTACAGGCATCTTCACGTATCTCTTATTGCCAGTCTTCTCTGTAAGTGTAAATTTGCTCAGCTGTAAAGCTGTTTATTTGCAATTAATCCAAAGCTGATCAAACATCCAGACAAGTATAAATACTGAGTCACAAAGTAATGATTTACAGAATTCTTTATATTATACTTAAGACTCTCTTATTAACATTTATAAGTAATACATGTAGCATCATCAACAAAAATTAATGGATACAAGAAGTGACTCACTAGCTTGTTGATGTTGCTTGTCTTCTCTTTGGAATGGGATGAGTTCATAAGCAGGTATTTTGCTCTTCAATAACAAAGTCAGAACATTGTCCAGCTTCTCTACAGAAGAAAATTTAAAAGCCTGTTTAAAAGAAATAAAAAAATTAAGAAATTATTGCATTTGTTGCATACATATTTTTATCCTCAGAGTGCTGGTGAATCAAAGTACTCAAAATAGTGTTCTTACAAAAGCACCTAGTAACAGCAGCAGGTTTTGAAAGCTATGTAACACATATTCTAGTATACAAGAATCATGATAACATGAAAATCTAGGAAAAAGATCTTTAAAGATTGTACTAAATATCTAACTTGAGTACCAGACTTACAGTGTGAATTGAGAAAGGATATGCACAATTTCCATCCCCAACATGAATAACCACATTACATTTAAAAATTATTGAGAAAAATAATCTAAAAATTCAGTTAGGAAACCACACTATTCTCTCTTATTCCAAGTAGATCTTCTTAGATATGGTATCCTCATAGGTACTACCTTAACAGAGTTCAATCTAGAGTAGGACAAAAATAAGTAGTAACACAGGAAATATGAGTGTATATGCAGATACTGTGCCACAAATAAAGAGGCTCAAACCCACCAGTATGCACTGAGGCAACTGTGAAGCAGAAATTCCACCATACAGGTGGCCTTCTAGACAAACTAAACATGAACGAATAGTTTAAATTTCAATTTAAATGGCAGGGACACCCCTTGCACATTTTACTACCTATCTAGCCCTCTGTGTCCAAAAGAAATTGAACAGATAAAAACCACCCTAGCAACGTATCTCTTATCATCTCTCCTTAATGCTTGAGGAGCAATTTCAGATAGAATCCATTTCATACTATCATACATATCAAAGCTAAATAAACACCCCACAGTTTCCTTTCAGTAAGCACTCAGGCCTGTTAACTTGAACTAAGGCAGGAACCCTTCCTTCTCCCTTTTATTCCGGCAGCAATCTGGGAGAGAAGGACCTTGACAGTTTATAGCTTTTACTGAGCACTTAAGACAACCAAATTTACATGGGACAAAATAAAGTTTCACAATCTGAGATGGATCAAATTCTTGCAATGAAAGGAGTACACAGCTTCAGGAACTTGCAGCAACATTTTCAAGGCCTTAAAGAGCTGCAGGGTTTAAATGCTTCAAGATCAGTTTTTACAAGCTGCTGAGACGGAAGTTAGAATATCTGATCTCCCAGCGGGAACAGATTAAATTAGAGCTAAACTTCTCATGCGTTAACAGGCCTGCCTTCTGATGATCAACCTATCCATTTTTATGATTTCCAAGGTGGGCTCAACACACTTCTTACAGAGAGATTATCAGTGCAATTTTCTTCAAATTTTTGACCCCACATTTTTTCTTTTACTCCAGGGATCTAAAATCTGAAGGATCAATGATTTAACACGTTATCTTGTTAACTAAACCATAACAAGTTGCTTTGTTCTGTTACTCTACAACAAAGACATAGCAGGAAAAACTAGCTTAGTTATTTAAAAATAAAGTCTACATTGATGCCTTTTATCTCACATGCGTGACTGCTTGTTCCAATACTTCCGTGAAGATAAGAGAAGTAATAGTGAAATAGAACTAGAATAGGACCACTCTGCACTATCCAGCTCCATATCAATACAAAGGTCACATCCCTCAAGAAAGAATTCAGTTTAAAGACTTTTACCTTACTCCCTTTTCCTGCTTCAGATGACTCGCAGCCTCCATGCTGCATTTAATGTAGTACACTGCATTTATGTATTTTGATGTACCCTGCCCAGATCTCTATAGGTCCATGAAATCTTCAGAAGAAATCCCACCAACACTACATAACTGATGATCATGCAGAAGCTTCACCAAAGCCAACAACAGAACTGTATTTAAAGTTAAGCACCCTGCAAGGGAACACTGAGCCAGTCAGGAGTTTGAGAAAGCACACATTTTATCTGAATGAAGACTTAAAACATGCCAGAAAAGAAGCAAAAGCACAACTTTTTTTGTGTCCTGACAGGCAAGTTCTTCCTTCCAGAAGTCACACAGAATTAAGCTAGTGACTTTATAAGCAATTCTTCCCATGCTCTCTGAAGCACAGACAGTGGTTCTCTACTACACCCTTTAATCTTGGTCCTTCTGCAAGTGCTGCTACCTGCCCAGAACTCCTCCCCAGCAGCTTGTCCTTGCTCAGTATCACCTCAGGTGTAGGCACTACCTCCCTTCCCTCAACTCTTTTGCAGAGCAACAGGACACAGCTATGAACAACAGAGAAGCTCCAGGTTCTGACCATCACACCTGGGCTTCCAAAAACATCCTTGAAAAAGGAGAAGATTGAGCATGTATTTTGCTAATTCTATGAAAGAGATGATCTACATTCTTTAACAACTGCTAACAAAGCCCTGAAAATGTGTGCCACTGAAACACAACATACACGGCCAATAAATTCACATATTTCTCACTGGCTTTAGCAGTACTAACAAGGTTACATTTACATAAAGACAAACTTCTTCAGTAGTTTTTACATATCAGACACTACTTCGTATGCACTTCAATAACTAGATTACTTTTGGCAGAGAGAATGGGCTAGGCTTCAAATCACTTAGGCATTTCTGGCAATTTTAGCCTGTGATAGAATATAGAAGGATTTTATACTTTGAGGAAAAGAAAGAAATATTTAAAAATAACAGCTGGTGACGTGACTTAGAAGATTGAAATATTAAACAGTTTCAAGGAAATATCTCTGGGGATCAGATAAAGGCACATACATAATATCACCACATGAGTCATAGCTATTTCTTACAAGTTTTCATAAAAAAGGCTGCAGTTTATTTTCATTCTTCTTTTTCAATATACACTGTAACTGGAGTCCTATTTGATGACTATGATAAAGGCATCCTTTAAGATACCAAGTCTCTCAGAATCATAGGAATATTATTCAACCAAAGTTTGTCATAAAGACTTCCTGAATCTCTCTAAATATCTAGACCTCAAACTAACGTGAACCTATCCATTTCAGTAGTAAGGATATGACTTTAGTTTCAGTTTGTTTTTTTTTTAAAAAAAACTAAGAAATCCATACCAGGAAACCCCAGCACTGAAAAATTGAATCAATAGTTGCATTTGGTAGAAAGTCTGGGAGAAAAATCTATACAGCAGGTAAATCCAGCAGAACATTGACATGAGGAGTTGATGAAAAGTAAAAAATGAAACATGAAAAAGTTTTATTATGAATTATAAGAACTTTAAAAATCAGTCTGTACACTGTGTTTCTCTAAGAACACTAAATCCCTAAGAGAGTTTCTTTAATGTAGAATTATATGAAAATGAGAAAACAAAAAAATGCACAGCCTTAACCCAACACCTATCCTCATATATACTGATCTCAAGTTCATTCAGCATTATGAATCAGTTATTACAACCCAACCCTTCCTACTTTACTATAAAATTTCAGGTATTTTTTTCTTTTGAAACTTATGCAAAGGAACTTATGTTTTTTTTTAACTCTAGCAAAACATTTAAAATAGCCAAATAAGGAAATAATGTGGATAAGTGCTTTTTAATTTCAGATAAATTTAACACATAGAAAATTACAATCTGTCTGGTGTGGCGAAGAATTTCATGCAAAAACATGATTAGCAAAAATCTTACAATAACTTTAATCTCAAGTATGACTAGTGTTATTCTTTAATTCCTCTCTCAAAAGCAGAATTTGTAAACTCAGGGGTATCATACCTTATTGGTCTCCCACTAAGATATGTGAACTGACCTGACCATCAGTAAAAGCCACGGATAGCTGTAAACATGTTTTGTTTTTGTTTTTGTTTTTGTTTTTTTTTAATCTGTTTGGCTTTACTGGGGGATAAAGTGGAGAAGAGAAGAATAATCTCAATGATCACAGCATCTCAAAGTAGCTGGAAGGGTTGGCAACACTACAGATAAGACAATGAAAACATTTTACCAAAGCATTGTGTCTTTGGTATGCATTACTCTGGCAATTTGCTTTCATCACAGAATTTTAATACAGAGATACTTCTGATTGCAAACATTTGTGAAAATCTTGAACTTTTCTTTGAATCACAGAGTGCTATTGCTTTGACCAGTAATTGATGTAAGCTTTTCTATTTTATTTTAAATTTGTTTTTCATTGTGTTTGATTGTTACTTTGCATACATAAACTACTGTTGCCCCAGGATACTTCTGCAAATAAGCTGATAGTCTCAGAGGTTTTAATTATCCTGGTTAAATAAAAGTTACTACTACACCTGCTACTTGATGGGAATTCTAATAAGTATCAAGTATGGTTTATGTGAACATATCTTTAAAGATTAAGTGAAATCCTGTTTTGTAAATGGCATCTTTACGATGTATCTTATTGCCAATTAAATCAAGTTCACATGAGAGCTCAAAGTATTTTAAAAGTTTGTGAAAGTAGTTTAGCTACCTAGGTAGTTAGTGCACCTCACTCCATGGCCACCAGGTACCATTAAATATGTTGACAAATCTTCCAACATGTATGTACACTTACAAAAGAATTACCTTTAGTCTACTTTCCCACAGAGCAGCCATGACATTGTGTGCACTGTAAAACTTACCTGATTATAAAAATGTTCTCAGCATTAATTTTTCAGTTGATAAAACAACAAAATTAAGAGAAGGCAAACAGCGTCTCCTCATTTAAACCCTCACTTATTATCCAGATGAGTAAAAGTGAGGAAATTGTTAAACATACCTGATAGCTGTAACATCTGTATTTCCTGGTGCGCACTACTGCTCCGCACAGCATTATTTTTTGCAATTGGATATGATCTGAATTGCATGTATCTTACTAAATATTAGTCATGCTGGTTAAATGCAGGGTCAAACTCCTGAATGACACAATTCTCCAGTGGAAATACCAGGTGTGTTATAGGTATCTAGATTACCATATTACTTATTTTTTTTAATCATTATGACACACTTCTTATGGATGAAATTTTAAATTAAACCAGTTAGCTTATTTCAATGTCCTTCAAAATGCAGGCTAAACAATTATAGATACTACAAAGATTTTAAGAATGCACTGGTACTTAGTCTTGCACTATTTTTCTTGTGCAACAGCCTGTTTTCTTAGAACAGAACTGACGTGTACTTGGAAGGAATCTACCCCCATCCTTAATAGAACACTAATAATGCAATACATCATTTTTTATTAATCCTTTCGTTATGAGTGTAACGCCTTAGGTGGTAGATAAGGTAGATTTGTCACAGGAAAATGAGGCTGTCTGCACTGGAAACACAGACTATTATTTTTGTTCTGGCTTTGCAATTACAATATAGACATCGTGACAAGTCTGCTTGGGCTACCCACCATTCAACAAATGATACTTGAGATTCCATCCTTTCTTAACAGATGCTTTCTTTTCTTATTATTTTGTATGTGCCATTGGCAAAGGACATCCTGCAGAGCACTGCAGCCTGCCGTGCTGATTTGAAACCCAGCTCAAAACCTGAATTCTTCTAAATATATGCAAAGAATCTGCATGGCAACCAGCAAGCCACATGAATGATAATTCAGCAGCTGTAAATGGACTCTACATGAATAGCAACCTACTGTCTTCCATACAAGCTATGCCAGAAAAATCCTGTTTGCTGGTGAATAAATAATAATCCTCCAAATACAATGTGACTTAAGATTACTTTCTTCTATTGATTTTAGAACATACTAGAAAGAACACTTTAAATGGAGAGGACATCTCTACTCTTTGTTATTATTTTCATACTCTGTAATGCAGAATGTTGTTCATTGGATATATGCAGTACAAAGGATCTTTATATCACTCTCAAAGCAAAAACAAAATAAAAAGAATTTTTTCACTTTCCTGACTTGCTTGTAACTAGACATCTTAAAAACAGGCCTCTGTAATCCAAAGCCTATTATTGAGCCATTATTACTGTGGAATCACAAGATTATGTATTATCTTTTAGGTCATATAGGCTTGTATTCTATTTTTTGGGTTTTTTTTAATTACAAATGCAGACGTCAACTTACCTGACAAGTGAAAGCTATTGGGTCAGCCACTTTCTTCAAAATGTACTCAATCTCCTCTAGTGCACTGTAGTACTCGATCTGCGTTGTGGTCTTAATGACTCCCCCACAGTAGACATTTACATATACAGGGCCAGCAGGAAAATCTTACAAAACACAAATGAGAACAGTAGCTGGAAATATTTTACAGTCCCACATCAGACGTCTCAGGTAATGAGTGAAAAAAGAGGAAAATATCACAGAAAATGCATGGACCTGATGGTCTGGATTTAAATTTCACATATGAGTCAGTGTAGTCAGGTTTTTACCGAGGTCTTTCAGTCTAGCATTAAGTTGCTGACAAAAGAAAATGCCTATCTGTAAATCTGTATAAAACAAAGCTATCGTATTGGTTATGCTAAGAAGAAGCTGAAAACTATATGCTTCAAATTTCCAACTTCCCTGTGATAGACTGATGACCTATAATCAGCTCCCTTACGCCTACAAATTAAGGAAAAGTTCATTTATTGCAAAAAGTGGAATTGCTATTCGTCTTTTGAAACATTTTCCTTAATTGCAGGCAAGGTTCTTAAATCTGGATTTGAACTAGGCTGTAGAAATTGCAGTGTAATTATTTCCATTCCAGTTGTTTACCTAGTAAAAGCAAAGGAAAGAGGCATTTGTACAGTCTGTTACTTAAGTGTGAGTTGCTCTGCGTATGCAGCGTGAGCTCTCTTTATGAGCACGTTATATAATTCATTAGCATTCACTGCACCAGGCAGCCTGCTGCACCATACCAGCACTAGCATGGTTTTCTTAAAATCCTAACCCTGCCCACAAAAGAGCAATAAAAAATGGGCAATTCTGAAAATGGAGAGCAGTAATCTGGCCAAAGAACTAAATGAATGGAACATCACCTTAAATCATTGAAAAAAAAACCTGCCCAAATACTTTTTAATTTTAATAAAAACCCCACGTTTTTCTCAACATCAGATCAGCTGGGCCCTTATTAAAAAAGGGTACTCCCAAACTTTCAACTTTCACATATTTTTAAACAAAAAGCCTACAGAGAGAAGCATTAAATAAAAATTATATAAGAAACAAAATTAAACATGGGCTGCATCTCTCTGCCAAATTTTCAGAGTATTTACTGTTCATATTTTATTTCTTCACCCACCATAGAAACCTTCCTGTGATAAACAATGTTCTCACAGAATATTTCTGGTAGGATCTCTCAAGATCTGCGAATGAGGATTTCAGCTTTCCTTCTCTGAAATGCAGTTACAAATAAAAGTTTACTGTTGGTCACATATTCCCCAGTCAGTTCTCTAAAAACATCTCTGCACCATTACAGTGATAAAGAACTCAAAGGCCATATCTGGTCATGATCTCAGGACAGTACTCAGAATGTACATCAGGCCACTAAATTACCCAAACAGAGCTCCAAAGAGCCACTGTTGAAAACTGCAGCCTATACACATAGTTCTTCCTATCTAAGGTTGTATTGCAATGGTTTTAGAAAAAAAAAAATCATAGAAATTCATTTTTTTGGTATTCACAACATGCAGTGCAGTAGCAAGCTACGCTCTCAACATTTACGTGAAACATTTTTTAATTCTTATTTCATGTCAAGTGAGTGAGGAATAGGCGTGGTCCTTAAATCTGCACAGATATTCTAAGAGGAACTGTTGTTAAATCATTGAAACTGTTGGCAAGGACTTATGGATGGAGCATCTGAAAAAAAAAAAAAACCAAAACACCAAACAAAATAGAAACCATTAGAGTTATGCAGAGAAATGGCATGGATGTGAACAAAGAAAAGAAATTATTTCTTCTGCCAGTAAGAACTATGGAGAGGAGTATAACCAAATCTACTGCATTAAGTATAAAATGAAACATTCTGCTAATAGAGTAATAGAAAAGAATATTAGCTTTCCATTTTATGGCAGTGATTTTGAGGAATGTTAATCTGTGACTAATCAACGACATTTTAAGACTACCACCTGCCATTTAACCACACAAAAACAACCTAAGAAAACCTAGTTTCCATAAATAACAAGACCTTGCGTCTCTGCATTTGTTCCGTGTGCAAAACCCATGTACAGGAAACACCTACAGAATAGTGGGAAGTGAAACTACTTATCGGAAAAAGCGCAGGGAGTCTAAAATTTGCTGTTTACTAAGGAGTAAAGAATGTTTTTCTTACCTAAGGCTTTCATGTACTTAACTTTCTTATTCCAAGAGGCTGGTTGTGTCTTAATTTGTTGATTATTTGCTATGAATTCAATTTCTAAAGTTTCATCATCTATTTCATCTTTCAATAAAATGAATATTTCACTGGGTTTCTGTAAAATTAAAATATATTCCCATTAGTCCTTCAGAAAATTATACTGAAAAAGTAAAATACAAATGAAAATATAAGTTGGAAGGAACGTTCCTTTATCAACAGTTTCATAGAAAAGAATCACAATACCAAAACATGATGCCATCTCAGTGCTATCCTTTAGTATTCTACTGACATACATGACACAATTAAAGTACTATTTTAAATTCAGTTTACCTAATAATACTTAAAAACTATTTTAATTATACATGTAAGTGAATTGTTAGATTTTCTGAGACCGTTCTATTTTATAGTCTAAAAGAATGATATTCAGCCTTATAAGAACCCAAAATACTTTAGACTCACCTAAGCTCTTACAGTGAACTGACAGTAAAGTAACAGATGTAAGAGGCTACGTGAGACAACACCCCTCTACTGCCTCCTGAACCAGAGGGAGTGTCACTCCCTTTGGACTGTAATGATCTCACCAATGAAATAGTGTGTGCAAGTCATCTTTGAAAGACAGACAGAAAGGAAAATAGGTGACATTCCATGCTCACTACAACCTCTGTATCTCACCACGGCCACTCATATAAACAAACGCAGTGCTGGATTTTGTACTTCCTCTGTTTATATTTTCACAAATTTTCTCCCAGGAACTCTGATTAAAAACAAATATATACGGATATTCGTGTCCATCATGCATGCATGCAGATAGATATATAAATATTTCTGATTCAATTTAAAATCAGACAAGGTATATGCTCACACAAGCACTTGTTATGTAACTCGTGGTATGGACACATATGTGTGTACGCATAGACCCATCAAGGATTCTTATCAGGAGATACTCCATACCTCTCAAGAAGTGTCTTATTACATGCTCCCACTAAAATACAAGGCTCGCATGACAGTAATATCTCTACTCAAGCTACCAAATAATCCTAATAGAGATAAAATCCCTCAGAGGCTGTCTCAAAACTATTTTATTTGCAAATCTTTTGGCTGCAGTACAGATGTGACAGAAAGGCAAAATAAATCCCATTGCTGTCTCGATGCACTCTCATTTTGGCCTCTTATCTGCTATTTATTTTCAAAACTGTTACAGTATGAATGAGATTGCAGTGCTAAGAGAAGAAGAACATTGACTGTTATCCCAAAGATTTTAGCATCCCAAAACCTTACCTCGCATGATATTCTTCTGGGAAGCACCAATATCGACTGCTGATTAGTTTTTGAAGTTTCAGAAAGTACCTCTGTTTTAAAAGTGAGGTCTGTTTTTTCTGATGCTCCCCTGACATCTGACAAGTTAACAGAGCTAGTCTGGTGATCTGAAATAAATAATGTGGAATGAGGACAATGTTAAAAATCCCAGATCAACAAAACATGGCAACGATGCGGTTTCCAACATACTAATCGTATGGCATTTGGAATCATATAAAGGGCAGTGCATGAAAGCCTGGCAAAATTCCTTCTCATGTAAATGCTGTAAGGTTTCCTCCTTTGATAAAGAGTTTGCCTCTGAAGTTCTGATCCCACAGCCTTTATTTACACGAACTGGCTCTGCTCACATGCTTCCTGTCACTGAAGTCAAAAGGGACATGGCTTCAGACCAAAGTCATTGTGACCAACAAGGTCACAGCAACCAGCCAGTTTTGTAGTCTCAGAAGAACAAACTCTCATACAGTGGGAGTGGGATAAACTAGGATTTTTAGCACTCTCACTTTCCCTATACGGAAACAAGGACATGCTATGTATGTACAACATCAGCCCATTTGTCTAGGGGAAGGATTTATGTGAAGGCTGTGGCACCTGTGACAAGGTAACTACGACAGTAAATGCAGATTTCCTTGACAGAGACTCCATGGTCTTTGCCTTCCTTCATGGACAATACAATGGACTGAAGGCATACATTTTTTTGTGTAGGATATTCTGAGTTTGGAAACGCTACAAAAGTCATACAGACAAGCTTGCAACCAGTTTCTTTTCTTTTTTTGCTGTACTGGTAAAGGCTCAACAGCCATAGTGAATCCTTCACCAAATAACAGAAGTTTAATGAGGAAATATAAAAGAACTGACAACTGCATCTGTAGAGGTCTGACTAAGGCTGTGCTTTAGAAAAGCTATTCTTACACCTGCTATTTCTCAGCTACACCAGTACTACTCCTTTCCAGACACTATTACCCTGTACAAAACACTCTTGCCACCCATCTCAAAGGACTGCAGCAGCTCTCCATCATGCAGGATTACCCAGCACATTGCAGTCACCTGCTTAGATTAATGATATCATTCCAAGCAGCTCAGTTAAAAAATCTTGACTGGCTAGTGAGAAAATATCCTGAGAGACACCAACAGTATCTTGAATTACTGTAAATTCTGGAACACTCACAGTCAATTACATTCAAGGACACAACTTTTGGGTGCATCTTTTCCTCTTACATCAATGTAGAATATTAATACAAATTAGTGATGGGCAGAGTACAGGAGAGTAGCAATTTGGCTTTGCTCAAACAAGCACCACAGCCATTTTGAGCTTTTTCCAAAAGTGCCCAAATGATTGAGGTACACAAACCACACAGTGCTCCTAAGTGGCACAGAACTCTTTCCACACAGCATCAGTATTGGTAATTTACAGTTAGTTTTTCTCACTTCTTACTTGCTTTTATTTCCCCTGTATGTACCAGTTTGTCTGATACAGAATGTTCCCTTTCCTTACCAACCTTGCCTTGCTTAAGAAGGCATCGATTTAATAAACTGCTTCTATAACAAATGTGCCTGTTAAGTGAATGCCAGGGAATATAGTACAGAAACTTGGGTATGCTGTATCTTGTTTTTTTCTTTTCTTTTTTTTTCCCCAGAGATGTGGTTTGATTGTTAGAGATATCTCAGGGGGAAAAAAAACCAACAAAAACAACTCCAAACAAACGAAAAAGAAGCTAAAGGTTCTTTGAACATTTTAGGTGGGTGGGTTCAGTGTTGATCACCAGCTAGTAAAATCCCAGCCTCCTACTCCTTATATTCTCATGACTCTAAGGCAAACTAATCCTGAATTTAAGACGTGAATCCAGTGTAGACTGGTAAAATTATAGTAAATCTATATGTAGACATACTTTACTGAATTTAAGCAGTTTTAATTCCATTTTTAAAATTTATTTTTAAAATTAAATAGGCTACACTGAAAAAAGGGTATTTTTGATTCTGAATGAGAGAATTCACCCACAGTTCCATGCAGTTTAACTAATCCAGCCCAAAAAAGTAAGTACATAAATTTCTCTGATTATCACTGTGAAGACTACACTTTATTTAGCACTACCCTTCAGAAAAACAAAGGGCTGAACCCTTGCTGAGGAGAACAGGATACTGGATGCCCACAGCATGTACATTGGGCATATTATGTGTTTGTATTTTAAGTCACTTATGAATCTTACTTTTAAGCACACAGAATTTACTTCAGAAGTCAACTCATAGGAAGTGCATGCTTCTGAATTTTTTTCTGCCACTTTAGGCAAAGTAGTCTTGCAAAGATGAGAAACATTTCATTATCAGATTGACAAAATGAAAGGACTGAATAACAAATCTGGTAGGCACTGGATTCTCAGATGTCAGCTTTCTGTCAGTGATCATTCTTCAAGAATCGTGTGGATGCATTCTAATCTATGTGAACTTCACGACAGCTTTATTTCTCCAGTCTGCATGCTACTTATCAAACGTGACAGCAGTTACTTCCACCTTTCAATGTATATAATAATTCATTTAGTGAGAAGGTCAATGCTAGTCCTAACAAGTTGGTTTAAATTAGGATAATGTTTTCATCCTGCATTAATTGCATTTTAATATTATTACTACGCCTGGTGACATGTAACTACAGTATTAGGACTTCAGCCCAATCAATACCGGGACTGCATAGCCCTAGAGTTTAGACAAGTCATTAACAAATGTGGCTTTTACATCAAAGATTTGGATATTTAAGAGAATGGGGGATTCCCCTGCTGACTGCATAAGTGGTTAGCAATTTATTAGGTAAAAACCACCAAGCAAGACTTCATTCAGGTCTACTGACAATCAGTGAAAGTCATGTACAGCAGTCCAAGAATAAGAATGACCTGTATTATCGTTACTATATATTTAATAACCAGGCTGCAGAGCCACCACCTCCAGCACTCAGATTCCTACCAGCAATTGCAGTGCTGGTCGTAAAATGTGGAACATGAAACAACCACATGAAGTTTTATTCCTAAATGCTGGACAACCAGTACACCAGAGATTAAGCAAGCCCGGGCTTGGTGGCATTAACTAAATGTAGCTCCCAAGGGTTTAACACTACAGTAATGAGATTCTAGTAACACAGACAGACAAATGGAAAGACAATAATTGTTTAGTGTAGGCAGAAGATGTTGCCTGACATACCTGTCTTTCGAACACTTAAATTCTGGACACCTTCACTGTGAATCCTCTTTACAGTCTTGCTTTTAACCTGAAAGGCTAGGGAGCTCCACTAATTGCTAAGGCTTTCAGAAAAAAATGATCATTTAACAAGACTTTACAACTGCAGGTGAAGATTAGCTTAAAAGTAACATAAAAGGAACATCATTATAATGCTGGAAGATCTAAGAAGGAAGATTTATTAAAGGCTATTTGTTGCTTGGTGAATGTGTTCTTTTAATGTTTTATATAATGGTGACTTACCTCTGAGGTTCTTAAAACGTAGCAATAACGATTAAAATAAGGGATTAATAAAACTAGATCCTTTCTTGTAGGATCGAAGTATAAGAAATTATTAACTATATCTAATGATGCTTAGACAACTCTATGAGCTAGAAGCTAAAAAGAAAGGAAAATCTATTATAATCTTCCCTTGAGTATTCAGAGTAATCCTACTGGGAGTTATCATCTCTTATAAAGGGTAATGCTCCATTTCCTTCAGGTTACTTTTGTTGGCTTACTTTTGACAAATACCTACTACTGATGGTCACATTAAAAGGACCGATCTTAAATTTAAGTACATATTTAAATAATAAAATATTACACACATTTACTGTAACAGTTATTCACTTAATTTAGCACAGTGCTGATGTTTTTAGTTTTACTTCAATGTTCCCTCTTAATTCATGTAACTTCAATACATTAATTTTGTATATTTTACACAAAAACTTCTGGAATGCATTACTGCTCTCAGTTAAACATTTTAAACTGAATTAATGAAATGACTTTGAAATTGCATTCCTTCACATAAATAGAGGAATTTTAATGAAGTCTCTCTAGTCTCTTGTGGATTCAACAACTCATGGCTCATCATGGGTTCTGAACAACTTTCATGCCACAACTAACCTCTCCGTCCCCAAATTCTAACATTTCAAACACACTCTTTAGCTATCCCTGTTGCAGCCAACATGAGGATTATAAATTGTCGTTGTCTTTGATTACCTGGTACTTGCTACAAGCTCTGAGTCAATAAAGTATGTGACAGTTTTGGGGTATTAAAAATAGCAGAAAATATAATCTTATGAAAGATTTATGTGTATTCTAAAGTTACCCACAGAATGAATCTCACAGCCAAAATTTAGTTGGTTTTACAAAAGCAAAATGCTGGCTAGCTTTTCAAATTTCAGCTCTTCCTCAAGTCTTGCTAAAGCAATGCTAGCTGAAGCTAGCACTACAAAAATGGTCCTCAATCAGCTCTAGATCACAGAATGTATAAGAGGATGAGAAATACGGGAAAATCAGGTTATATAGAGATGACAATGAATAAGAAGGTCATGAAGCACGTGGCCAACTTGCCACACGAAAGAAAAGACAGGGAGTTCCAGCGTCAAAGATTAAAATAAAGGGGGTTACAGGCTAATTCAGCAGATCATATAAGGGCAGAAGTCATCCCATGTAATATGGTAGGACCACTCCCCAGCACTATGTGAGGTAAAGGCAGAGGTGGTTCCACTGGGTTCTGTGAGGTCTAACTGAAAAGGTGCTCCTCTATGCGACTTCCTTTCAATCCAAAAGCTTCAAGTCAAATGTGTGAATGTACAAATGTGCAGAAATGTGGGTTAAGTAGAAAAAATGGAAAAAAAGCCCAAACAACTAACCTTCTGTAATGTGGAAAAAAGACTTAAGCACATCATAATCTTCCTGCAATGCACCATAAATTTATCATAGACATTTATGAAAGTTAATCCTCTTAAAGTATGGATATTTGTCAACATTGTATGAGTGCAGCAGAGAGTGCAGCAGAGTGGGATTGAAAGGCAGCCTCGTAACTGCATAAATTGCCCTATAAATGACCTGTGCAAAGGCTGTGCAAGACATGGAGGCAGGAAACATCTGCCACGCTTCATTC